CCCAACACCAACCAAACTTATTTTCGAACGCACTCAAAGTATCGGATGCAAACTTTCCCTTGTTTCCTCTTCGACTGTAATAAAAATGTAGCTAGAAATCTTTTTTAAAAAGTACGTAACTGTGTAAAATAAAAATGTAAAGTATTCGAATAAATGGAAAAGAACTTGAAATATCTTCTTTATCCAAATAAAAATTTTACAATGAGATATTCTTTTGCACGATTGCCAATTGCTACATTTGACCAACAATATTTTATTCTATTCGCAGGTAGAAATCTTTCAACGACGTTAATCTCCCCCCCCCCACCGCCCCGCTCCCTAATTTGATCTTATAATTACTATAATAAAAGATACAAATTGCTTCTTTCTAAATAAGTCGACTTCTCGATAATAAATTTTTTATCGTATTTATGATTTATCAGTTATCATTTTGGCACGGATGCCTTCTGGATGTGTCAAATACGAGCAGAGACTGGACCGGAAAATCATCAATCCGGAACATGCAAAATGGGACCAAATACCGATTCAACTGCGGTAGTCGATTCGGAACTTCGAATACACGGTATATCAAATATTCGCGTCGCCGATGCTTCCATTTTTCCCATCGTACCAAACTCAAATCCCATTGCTGGAATCATGATGGTGGCTGAAAAGGCAGCCGACATGATTAACAATGCTTGGCCGCAGAAATTTTAATGTATAATATCTTGCACTGAATTGTAATATATATTTCTTGACAGTTATAGTTTACTTGAATAAAAGAAATTTATTTAAATCGCTTACAAATACTTTCAATTCCTTATTTCGATAATGAATCGCCGCTACAAAATATTTTTATAAGAATTTGGTTGATTTATAAAAATTTTGAAATAATTTTAAAAAATATATCATTATGACTGTGTGATACTGTAAACCAGTAATACTGTAAACAGGTTACAAATAAATTGCTACGTATCCATAAACAAAAACATGTGAATTTATATCTTGAATATTTATGCTAACTACGTTGCTAACTATGTTGCTAACTACGTATTTATGTTTTACGTTGAAAACTGTAAAAGATGGCCTTAAACTTTATTTTTTAGTTTCCAATATGGTCAATCAAACTAACGTCCACTATTTATGCACTGATGTAAAATTTAAACTTATCATGGCACACAGTCACGATTAAGATTTCTTTCCTAATGTATCTTAAATAATAATAAACTCAAAATATTTAAAATAAAACATACATACTCTATTCAATAAAATTTATTGTGAGTTGCATCAAGTAGCAATTGATTAACTATTAACAATGCTAATTAGAAATATATAATATTGCTGCATAAGTATTGCAAGAAATATCGAATTTTAATATAATAGTGTTGAGGAAAACCAATAAGAGATGCATTTGTACACACACACCCGCGCGCGCGCGACATCTTCCTTCAGTGCCGGTACTAATTGCAAAATTATGAAAATACACGACATCAAGATAGAGTAATATAATTTTCACATATAAATTAGGAAAAATATAGGCATAAAAAATAGACTGTCAAGTATTAAAGACTATAAAATAATAATTTAAAAGGAGAAGTTATTAAAGCCCGAGCTAGAACTTGGTGCTCAAATAAATATTTTTATTAATTTATAACCATTTGCACAAACGTTTCGACCATATTTTTGGTCATCTTTAGTGTGTAATATCTATGTAAGTTTAACTAGTTAAAACGCACACATAACATCTTAAATTGTCGTTCTTAACATTACAATGTATAACATTCATATCCTCTATTCTGTATTATAAAACATTTTCTAAAACAAGTGTCAATTTGTAATTTCCGTTAAAAATTTCTTTCTGTCATGGTCATTATTAGGGCGATTATCCTATTTATCATAAGTATCAATCTTTTATGATACAGTAAATCTATAATATAATTATTATGCTGGACTCGTGATAATCTAAAAAATTTATTACAATTTCTTTATAATTTATCACATACCTCGATGCAGACAAGGTTGACGAGTTCTCCTTTTCCTTTAGTAAATTAACAAATTTTACTTTCAAAAGTGTTACAACGTATATTTTATATCAAATCTATCGAGAGAAGGTCAGATATAAATATTAGGAGCGTGATTGGGAAACATTTTGAAAACCAATAAATTTGTTTCCCACTTAGGAGAATAAAGATTCCTAAGTTCTTAAAATCTCGCCACTATAACAAGTTTCTTCTTATATAAACCAACTCTCTTTATCCTTATACCAGTCACACTCCTAATATTTATCCGACCTTCTCTTGATAGAAACTTGATAGAAAATATACGTTGTAACACTTTTGAAAGTAAAATTTATTAATTTACTAAAGGAAAAGGAGATTATGTCGACTAATATTACGAAGAGCCTCGTCTTCATTGAGATATGTGATAAATTATAAAGAAATTGTAATAAATTTTTGAGATTATCAGTTCAACATAATAATTATATTATAGATTTCCTGTATCATAAAAGGTTGATATGTATGATAAATAGAATAATCGCCCTAATAATGATCACGGCAGAAAGAAATTTTTAACGGAAACTATAATTGACACTCATTTTAGAAGATATTTTATAATATAATAAATACTGAATAAAGGATATGAATGTTATACATTGTAATGTTAAGAACGACAATTTAAGATGTTATGCTTGTGTTTTAATTATACTCTGTCCAACGAGAGAGTAACCTCGATCTGCGCATAGGAGAAGTATAGCGGACAAAGTGGGGAGAGCGTTGGCATTGACAAGCTGTACGAGCCACTGAGCTCTATAACATACTGGAGCGAGCCTTCAAGGAGTGAAGGTGTTTCCTCGGTTGAAAAGGACAAATAGATGACGTGAAGCTGGTTTTTCTTGTCAGTTATTCGCTGACTGGTTGGCGTAAGAAAGAGATAGAGAGCCTCACACTCTATATGTGTCCCTCTTCCAAATCGCGGACATAGTATTCTTTGTTTGACATATGGAAGGCTCGCTCCAGTATGTTATAGAGCTCAGTGGCACGAGCAGTACAGTCCTGTAGAGTGGGGGGGCTTTCTGAGAAAGTGTTCCGTGAAGAGAAATATTACACACTAAAGATGGCCAAAAATATGGTCGAAACGTTTGTGCAAATGGTTATAAATTAATAAAAATATTTATTTGAACACCAAGTTCTAGCTCGGGCTTTAATAGCGTCTCCTTTTAAATTATTATTTTATAATAAGAAAGCCAAAGTAATTACAATTGTAAAATTAAAGACTATACTAAAAACTAATTTTTTAACAAGCTGTTATAAATAATGATTATACAAGTTTGTTTCATAATTGAAATAATTACTAAAACAAATTATATATAGACATTCTACATGTCTGTGCAAGTAGGAATCGACAAGAGACATCCATAAGACATCAACAAGTAAAGATACAAAAAGTGTAAATAATTTTCCACCACCGCTTTACGCTTCTGGTAAGTGGGGAAAAGATTAAAACTTCATTGGAAACTTTAAAATCCGTCAGTCGCAGTCAAGCTGTTGCATGAACTTATTGCACGCTTTCGTTAGCATTGAACGATTTATAGGTAAGTTTATTTTTGTTTCAAATATTAAATTAATTCATAACTATAGTTAGCTTATAGTTATATACAAGGTGGCCATTGGAAAGGTATCCAAACTAAATTACTTTGCAACGACTGAACAGAATGCAATGAATTAAACGTTATTTTGTGGAGCAAACTCGTTAATTTTATTTCGTATAGTATGAAAAAAATATAGAATAATTAGCTAATTAAAATATTTATAAACACAATAAAAATGCTACAAATCTGTCTGGGCGCTTAATAATAAATATTGTCGAAGTGTTTATCGGAATTGGCACGAAAACTCGAAAGTTTTTGAAAACTGTTAAATACACTTTTTAACATGACTGGGAAAATATCTTGAATTGGAAACACCTTTCCAATGGTTATCCTATATCAACAAATGTTTCAGACAAAACTTGCTCAGTTTCAATCGCAAAATTAAATAGCAATGACAAAAGCGCTTTTCTCGCCGCACTTATTTTTTCGAAACTATATAAGAGATTTATTAAAATATCAGTAGCTAAAGCAGTGATAGACATAGGAAATATGTTTTTTCATTATTTTCTGCCACCTTTGGCATGCCACTTTATAAAAAAAGACATTTTGATGTAAAGTTTAGAACTTCATAGTCTATCTCGAGACTAAAATAGTCTCCAATTTTTTTTTTGGGAGGGGGGGCGGCAGAATTACAAAAATCTGTAAAATAATTGTCTTTAAATATGTATTTATATACAGGGTGTCCGGTAATTGTTGAATCACCTCTCGGATGCCTATACCCAAGAAATGATTCAGCAATTACCGGACACCCTGTATATAACGACAACCAAAGTAAGTAAATAGCATCTCATGTGCAATCAGTTCTATACCTCTACAATAAAATTTATCGAACGCATTTACCGATATGCACTGTCGATGTTAATTTCAAGTATAAGAATAAATAGCCCGCGTGCTTGTGTGTGTCTAGTAAAATATAAAATATTACTAATAATAATATTAATTAATAATAATGCTCTCTCTCTCAATACTTAAAAATTAATACACATTATAAAACATATCGCATTACATCAATCAAATATTAAATATTTTTATATAAAATCTCAAATAGAGAATTTAAATATTTATTGTTGGTAAACTGTAATGCTATTCAACTTAAACTACGACTTTTCGACTATTCTCGAGAAGAATATTTTGATGTTACGAAACGTATCGTTTAGAATGTACGCTCTCTACTGCATTATCAAAAATATGCCTTATCTTAACGGAAAGTTAAGATAGAGCATATACCCGAGTCGAAATTTTCAGCCTAGATTAAACCTACAAGTTTTGTCGAATTTGGAGAACCAATGTAAGCTTTAATTCATATATATAGATATAACATTACATTGGCTATTGCCCTCCTTTGATACTAAAAATTGTTACTTATTGCCGTTTTTCCATGTGGAAGCTCAAAAGAGTACCTACTGAGAACCTCTAAAAAGGCTCCAGGTTCTATAAATATGTATTTCTAGAAATAAATATTCAAATTACTTAATAATCTATTATCTCATATACTCTACTTGCATTTAATGTATGGATCTTGATTCAATAACAATATATTAATTATTATAATTTGCTTAACTGTAAATAGACTGCTATAAGCAAATATTATATAAATAATATTCACTTATCTCTTACATATCTATCTGCAGTTAAGTAAATTACATAATTAATGTATTGCGCTTATTGAAATTAAG